CATATTTCCGCCACACACTTCTACACCTCCCCTCCACCTCCCCTCCACCTCCCCCCGCGTTCCTCCGACTTCCCTCTCCGACTGTAATAGCAAATTCAGAAGTCCTGGGCCCCTGGCCAGGCAGTTTGCTGATGTCAGCTGGAGAGCAACTGCAACCACCAGGGGGTATTTCTGATGACAACAACCGCTGGCCCGCTGGGGATGGTCCAGGATTCAAGACTGCGCAAGACTGCTCCAGGGACAATGAGACTCTGCGCCTGAAAGGAAAGGTGACGGGGCACAACCCAAGATGGACTTCAGAATCAACGACAGTTAAACTAAGATATAAAAGGATCCTACAGAATACTGCACACAGTGAGATAGAGTCAACCACACGCAACCCACAACAGTACTAGAATAGAAGCACAAACACATGATTGAATGGTCTCAATGTACAGTAGGATACAAGACAGGATAAAATGGCCCAATGTACACTAAACTGCAGCCGTGTATACAGCAACACTGCATCAGACTGAGACAACATCATTGGCCCCGTCCATGACCTGCAATCATGACAGCAATAAAGAGATGGCTCGATCCAAGATAAACTGTAGGTGTAACGGCCCCCACGTAAGGACAAAGCCACACATTAAACAGCAGAATAGAGTGAGCCACAGAACAGCTAGCAAGGTTAGCATGACCGAACGCACAAAAGACAGGATAGAATGCACAAATAACATGATGGAAGGGCACAATATGCAATAACTTGCAACACAAGACTGACGAGCACAATGCATAGTAAAACTGCAACCTTGTAAGACTATCTAAGCACACCAGATTGGGACCACGAAGGGGCCTCTGGCTGTGATCATCAACAATCGCACACTTGGCATCCAAATCGTGCACTCTTCCTGGGGCGCTGGACCCGTTTTCCAGCAGGTGATGTTCCCCACCAATAGAGGGAGCCTTCCCCACAGGCCCACTTAACGAGGATGCTCTTATCACCTCGTTATAGAGGCAACCTGTAACGAAGTTTCGAAAAAAAAAAAGAAAAAAAAAAAAAAAAAGAGAAAAGAAAAAAAAGAGCCCTTTTGTTTTTCGAACCTTGGCTCGAAGGAGAATTCAGACCGCAAGAACCACCTACCTTGGTGCCTTTCAGCGGCCCAACCCTACCTGCCTCAACCCTGTACCCTGATGCCCAATCTCTACCAAGCCTCACGCCCCCAACTGCTAGATTACAGAGTGGCATGACCCAACCCAAAACCCCCCAACCTGCTAGGCCACAGGGCAACACGACCCGTCCCGGCTCCGACCAGCGTCGACTAGGCACCAGCTCACCAAAACACACTAGAGTGCCTTCCACCCTCGACAACTCCCCAGATCTCTCTACCAGGTCTCATGCCGTCGTACAGCTTGAGTTACAGGGCAGCGCAACCAAGCCCCAGCTCCGACCAGCGTCATTCTGGCCTCGTCTATTCGCAAACCCCTAGGACTCAGGACTACGGCAGATACCAGTCAAGCCACCAATCAGCGCCATAGCTGCAGATCCGATCATCCATCCTTCAGGCACTAGTTGCAGATATCGCACAAAAAAAACTTCTCAGCTCTACTCCGGCAAGTCTTACCGCAATGGAGCCACCATCTCCACCGCTGTTATGCCCTATTTCAACCCTGCAGGCTAGCCCCTTTGCCGCAGAGTGCGTCATCTCCCACCATCACAGCCACCACAACCCCCTGCCACCAGCTCCAGCGTCTATTGAAGTCTCAGTTACATATAGAGGGGTCACAAGAGCGAAAGGGATTATTCCTCTCCTCAAAAGGACAACCCCCTGTCTGTTTACTGCCTCCGCGGGAATGCGCCCCCTCACCTCCCCACCCCAGTTCAGAACAGCCCCCAAAATAGCACTCCTGCTCCCTCAGATGCATACAATACCCCCTAAACCCGCAGAGCAGAAGATCCCCCTTCCCTCCTTCCCCACCCCCTCCAAGCCGAACAGCCCTCTCTACTCTCACCTTGCTGACATCAGCAACCCATGTCCTCTCTCCCCAACCGCCATAGTTGATCCGACCCAATTTGAAAGATCAGCGTGGCCCAGAAAAGGACGAACCCTCAGTACCGCCTCTACCCTCTCAAAGATCACACCACCCACCTTGTGCAACCCTCGCAGCAAGGGGCTCCAACCCTAAAGGAAATATTCCATTCGACACCTATGACCCCAAACCCACAACAGCACGAACTGAGGCTCAATTACTAGGAACTAAAAAAAGACCAATTACTTTGGAATTCCGTCTACGGAAGAGAAAGAGCTCGGAGAAACCGCTCTACATGGAATAGAAAAGCTTGAGACTTCAAAAAACGTTGTGCCCCTTGGTACCCTCTTCCCCCCAATGCAAGGTATGGTCCTTATAGCTGCACCAGGCAAAAAAGTTGCCGTAAATACAGCTATAGAATCATCCCTCATCTTTGGGGAGAATAGCAGCCCAATGGTACACAGGCGGCTGTTGATTCTCAAGTCATAGTTTCAAAGCACGCCAAGGATGGACCCACTTGCTGCAATGGAAAACAGGATAACAAATACAGATACATGGATCCTCTTTTGTTGTGCATGTGCATGTGTGTGTCTGCGTGTGTTTGTTTGTTTGTTTGTTTGTTTGTTTGTGTGTGTGTGTGTGTGTGTGTGTGTGTGTGTGTGTGTGTGTGTGTGTGTGTGTGTG